ATGGCATCTAAAATTCCTGATCATTCAACGACTGGCCACCGATCGTCGGCAACGAGGTCTACCTCTACCGGATCGGGACATCACTCAAACAGTGGTCAACGCCCGGAACCGCTACCGAAGGCCAAGCGGTACGTGTGTAGAGATCACGGAAAAAGTTTCGCCAACCGGTATGAGTTCAATGAGCACCAGTACATCGTTCACGGCCTGACACATCCATACCTGTGTGAATACGATGGTTACCGACATGACATGCGGTGCAACAAACAGTACGACCGGGAGTTTGATTACGTGCGCCATCAGCGCCGCCAACACTCCATACGCGTTCACTACGAGTGCGAGTACAGCGGGTGTGACCAGTATTTTGATCACAGGTCGGCCATCAAAGAGCACATCACCAAAATGCACGGCAAACAGCGGCCGTTTGTCTGCGATCGGACCGACTGTGGCCAGAGTTTCGGCCGCGAGACGCAACTCTACGCCCATAAACTTCGGGTCCATTCCGAACCTATTGTCGACCAATCGGTGCCTAAACCAAAAATATGTCAATACGAATGCGATTATAAGAACTGCTTTGGAATGTTTGCCACCGAAGAGATACTGCAAAAACATAAGAAGTCTGTCCATCAAAATCACGATCAGTTGTCATCGGCTCAAGAAATGCCCGCCGTTTCCATTGATAGCACTACATCTCAAGTACTTCCAGGCCTTTCCAATGATAGTGCTGTGTCTCAAACAGTGCTCACTGGCCTGTCATCCATCTCATCGGTAGACACACAGCATAGGTATTGTATTGTGTGCTGTAATATAAAAATTATATTTTGAATCTCTCTCTCTCTCTCTCTCTCTCTCTCTCTCTCTCTCAGCGTTATTTGTAATACGGATCGGGAATTGCGGACACATTTGAAGACAACGCGCGCCGACTCTTCGGGCCATACCGTGACCTACAGTGAGAAGCGATACAAATGCGACAAATGTTCGCAAACCTATCGTCGCGACTGTCAGCTCAAACGGCACCAGAAGTCACGGCACGGCGTGCGGGAGCCATACCGGTGCTCGCGTGACGGGTGTGACCGCCGGTACGCAAAACAGTCGCTATTGGAAGCGCACAAACTGGCCAAACACCGGACGGATATGCTTTACCGGTGCCGATACGGTCAGTGCGAATGTGGGTTTGAGTCCGAGCGCCAGCTGAACCAACACCGGCGCATAGAGCACGCCATACACTACCCGTACCGGTGCTTACGGGACCCGTGCGATAGCGGCGCTCCCGGCGGGTATTCTACTTACGATATGCTACGCGAGCATGAGTTGGCCGCGTACTACACTTATCGTTGCGATTATAGTGGCTGCGATCGGGCGTACGACACACGCCAGATGCTATTCGAGCACCGGACTCGGTGTAGGTATGAGCCCAATAGCCGTCACTCTCGCACCCCCTCTGTGGGCGATTCCCCCTCTACCTCCCGGTCGCGCAGGTATGCCATTAGATTCGCCATTGGATATAATGGTCAGCAAAATGACTGATTGTTATTATAATAATAGGTCTATGGATAGGACTGATCGCGATTTGGACGCCCATAAGTACTCGTCTCATAAACGGTCCGTAACGCCCGATAGTCACCAACGGGTCAGCAGCACCGGTAGCCCAGCGGTGGCCACTTCGACCTCGATGTACACCAAACCCAAAAAGTATGCGATATGGTAGTGATTGTGCGGCCAATTAATTGTGCAGTATTTGTGATTTGTTTAATACTTAACTTAATTTGCATCTAAATTACATTATTATTTGTTTTGTTTATTTATTTAATTATAAATATAATTGACGAATGGTTTAAAATAATTGGTACTTAAAATTTAATTAATGATTGTATCGGTATTGTTTTTTCTTATATGTTTTAAATGATTTTTTGTTTATTTCGCATATCATTAATATTGCTTAAATTGTTTTAAATCATTGTTTAATTTAATTGATTTAAGTTTTTTTAATTACTACTTATTATTTTGTTCATATGACTCATATCTAGTCCCTGACATACACTGAAGGTGTGTTTGAAACGGGTTTTAATCTAGTGTTTTGTTTGCAAATAAAATTTTGATATCAAACTTCAAATTTTTTGCTTTATTATTTTTATGTTTTAAGTATTTAATTACTTTTAATTAGATACTATTGTTTTATTACGATTGTTTAATTTGTTACCATGCTGCGTTTGCCCGTACAAATACCTATCTATGTGAATTTTAATCATGATAAATGTTATTTTTTAAATGCACGTTAAATATTGCCATTAAAACAGCGACTATACCACCGCTATATCGCCGGTAAATGACATACCGGTGAACAACGATAACGACATACGGATACCCGACTACACGACCGGCACTTTCCTTAACGACTTACCGGTGTTGACCACCGAAACGGCGGCGGATCCGTTGCCCGTACAGCCTGTGTCCGACCCCATAGACCCACTGTCCATAACTACTACTGAGAGTTGTGAATGTCTGACCGCTTATAACGCTATTAGCTATGAGTATGTGTTACTTGTGATTAACATTACAATCAATTGTCAATTTAAATTTAATGGTTTTGTCATGTATTTAAATAGGCGTCCAATAAGTGATGGACAAAACGTGTGCCCCGAATGCGACAAATCATTCATTAAGCTCAAAGGCCTGAACGACCACCGGCGCGCCGTCCACTCTGTGCAGCCGACGTACTTGTGCTCAGACGACGGGTGCGGCCAAACGTTTTACACTCAACGGCAGCTTAAGAGCCATATTCGTGAACACAAGTCGCCCAACATGTGTCACGTGTGCCACAAGTGGTTACGGCGACCGCTGGCTCTGGCGCTACACAATCACGCCCTACACGGCCTGCCATTGCCCCACCCGTGCGATTATGACGGATGCGACAAACAATGTGTCACGAAAGCACAGTTAATTTGGCACAAATATCACTTCAATCACTTTACGGCCAACGATTACGATATGCGGCCAAACCCTACGCCCACAGCCATAGCCCCGCCGATGACCACGGCTTCAGTCCAATTGGCTGATGACGATAACTTTTGGCTAATGGCGATGACTATTGGCTCACTATTATTATCGCCGGCGACAACCACTACCGCTGTTGAGACTACCGGCGCAGTCGACACGAGGGCTGTCCAACAATTTCCCGCTCGCCGGGTCGGACAGAGTCCGCGAACGGTTCCGCCGCCGCCGACAACAGCGGCAACGACTTCGATGGCCACAACTGCCGACTCGTACGTGACTTTAGCGCCCGTTTTATTGCTGTTATTGTTTTGATATGTTTTACACCACAACACAGAGAGTCGGACAGCGATGTCGAGATCGGGGCCGAGACTACTTCTCAGCCGACGGGCGTCGCGCCAATTGGCCGGCAGTCAATTGGATCACCGCCGGTGGAGGCCGTCGTTGTGGGCAATGGTTTGTGGCAATTACATCGGTTACCGCCCATAACCACAGCCGTAGACACTGGCATACGGGCGCTGGCGATGGCACAGATCGTACCCAATGGGGAGAGACGGCTGTCCGTGGCGTCGGCCGACACCAGCCCTACGATATATTACATCGGTTACCGCCCATAACCACAGCCGTAGACACTGGCATACGGGCGCTGGCGATGGCACAGATCGTACCCAATGGGGAGAGACGGCTGTCCGTGGCGTCGGCCGACACCAGCCCTACGATAACACCGGTTCCCTCCGATATGGAAATCGATTCGGACATCGATGACAGGTATGTGTCACACATTGCAGGCAATCATAGCTCTTTGGACACTGATTTTGTTTTGCGTTGTTTAGCAGTGATTTGTTAGACCCGCCCGACGGCGGCGATTTCATTGATAGCACTACATCTCAAGTACTTCCAGACTTTTGCAGTTATAACTCTGCGGTTAATCCTTTGGTCAATACATACAACGGGTATATATTTGTGATCATTAGTAGAGCAACCGCGGATTTTTTAAAACTATATATTAAAGTGTAACGTAATTTTATGTGCGTTTATGATCAAACATAGCAGAGCGCATGTGAATGTTGTGAACGCACACAAACACAACACACTGTGCTTTCATTTAAAAAACAACACATTGTGAACAAAATGGCCTCAAAGGGGTATGTTCAAAAGTGGGATAGCTTGCACCCAAGAGATATTTTATATACTGAAAGTACTTGATCTACAGAGTCTAGTGGTATACTTTATATGGTAAAGTGACCTCGGGTTTGGCCGCAGTGACCACTTTTATCGGTAAAATTTTGAAAATCAAATCTTTTATTTTATAATTAACCATATCATATTATATATCAATAGAAAGGTATTGAAGAGATCTTAACTTTAGGCTTGCTTAAAGAGTTTAGACTGTATTCACTATTTTCAATATAGGTTTAACTCTTTAAATCATAGTCAATACATGCAAAACATATCACTTATTGCAGTAATGATTTGTAGTCAAATATCAATTTTTTAAAATTTTTTTGGCATTTTACCCATTAACATTGAACTTTACCCTAACGTTTTATCACTCTCTGTTTCCAGATGGAGGCACAAGCCACAGAGAACCCATTGCGATTGTCTGGATAAACATTCGTTTGTATAAATGCATTACACTTTAATATCTATGAAAACAACCAAAATCGATTTCAAATCGATTTCTCGCGGTTGCCCTAATCATTAGATCAGTTTTAAAACTACAATTGAAGCGTTTTATCTTAAAGAGTGCTAAGTAAAATGGAAGTCAATGTATTTCGCACATGCGGTTTTTCCGATTACTCTTTACCTATATACACGTAATATGCCTAATATGGAGCAATTCCAAATCCACATATTTTTGGTCAAACTATAAGAAATATAGGGATTGTTTCAATGTGTAATAAAAATTATTACCGTAATACCTGCCTTAGAAATGCATGCAATACTAAGTCAATATCAGTAAAGGGGTGCAATACTATCTAGGTAAGATTGCACTCTATTTTAGGGCAATTGGAATTTTTGTTGAAAATGACAATATTGCATTAATTTATATGTTTTTCTAAAAACAGTACAATTGTTTTAAAAGTCGTTTTGCCTAAAAACAAATCGGGAAAAAGTGTTTCATTATATTTTGCTTTTGTCGCCTAAAAATGTATTTACAGTAAAATATTTAAATTTTTATAATAATTTTTGCGATTTTCTCTAAAATGTTTAGTAGTTTTAAATGTATTGTAGTTTTTGGCCATAAATTTGCTGTTTATTAATCAAAAAATAATAGTCAAATAATTCATTACACGACTTGAAGTGTTTTAAATATACCGTAATACCTGGCTTAGAAATGCATGCAATACTAAGTCAATATCAGTAAAGGGATGCAATACTATCTAGATAAGATTGCACTCTATTTTAGGGCAATTGGAATTTTTGTTGAAAATGACAATATTGCATTAATTTATATGTTTTTCTAAAAACAGTACAATTGTTTTAAAAGTCGTTTTGCCTAAAAACTTTGGCTTAACGATTGAATATACAGTATTGGATAATTTGAGTGAAGTAGCAGTTGTGTGAACTAACCATTTATATGAACCAAACCCTGAAACCAAAACCCGCACTGCATAGACATAATGTTAAAAAGTACCATTTGTGTAAACGGATCATTTGTGTGAACAATTTGGTACTATTATTATACAACATTCAATGAATTTTAGGGTCAGTTGTGTGAACATTAAAAAAGTAAAACCTTTTATGATATATAGAGGACAGCTTTAATAACATGTTTTTTGTACAAAAACTTAACCAAAAATTGCTTTAAAATATTGGCCAAAAACATAGCGATTAGTCTATAAGTTAATCAAAATCAATAGTTAATTGTGATTAAAATGTCTTCAAAGCGCAATAAACTATATATTGAGCAAAAGTACACAATCATTAATCAAATTAAAAGTGGTGAAATATAAATGTTAATTATATTTTAAATATAAGATCATTTGTATGAATGAATCATTTGTGTTAACAAAAAATACTAAAACACAATCACTTCACCCAAATGATCCAATACTGTACATTTCCTGTCAAACATTGTGTTTAATTAGAATAGAAAGTCTCGAAATTTTGAATTGCTTGCAAATTCTGACATAAATAAAATGATAAACATTGATATAAGTGATAATGACTTGGATTTGATGTTAAATAGTGGCGAATGTAATTTAGACACAAAGTTGATCACAAATAATGTGGCCAAAGATATGTCTTAGACGGCTGTCTCAGCTCATCGTAAGATCCTATTGCTTTATATTCTGTATTGAATTTTACATACTATTGCATGCAATCATATGTCATTTTTAGTGAAGGGGTGCAATACTACCTAGATAAGATTGCATATGATTTTGAAAAACACGATTTTACTGAAATTGTAATTTTAGGGTCAGTTGTGTGAACATTAAAAAAGTAAAACCTTTTATGATATATAGAGGACAGCTTTAATAACATGTTTTTTGTACAAAAACTTAACCAAAAATTGCTTTAAAATATTGGCCAAAAAACATAGCGATTAGTCTATAAGTTAATCAAAATCATTAGTTAATTGTGATTAAAATGTTTTCAAATCGCAATAAACTATATATTGAGCAAAAGTACACAATCATTAATCAAATTAAAAGTGGTGAAAAATAAATGTTAATTATATTTTAAATATAAGATCATTTGTATGAATGAATCATTTGTGTGAACAAAAATGCTAAAACCCAATCACTTCACCCAAATGATCCAATACTGTACATTTCTTGTCAAACATTGTGTTTAATTAGAATAGAAAGTCGAAATTTTGAATTGCTTGCAAATTCTGACATAAATAAAATGATAAACATTGATATAAGTGATAATGACTTGGATTTGATGTTAAATAGTGGCGAATGTAATTTAAACACAAAGTTGATCACAAATAATGTGGCCAAAGATATGTCTTAGATGGCTGTCTCAGCTCATCGTAAAATCCTATCGCTTTATATTCTGTTGCATGCAATGATATGTCATTTTTAGTGAAGGGGTGCAATACTACCTAGATAAGATTGCATATGATTTTGAAAAACACGATTTTACTGAAATTGACTTACGAGTGAAGTTTTAACCTTACCTAACGTGGATGTTGCTGAAATTAAATTTATTTAATAGATTAGGGTACAAAAAATAATTTAACGCCAATTTTAGCTGCTGATACTAATATTTGTGGGCGTGGGAGGCGTTTGAATATATCATGGTCAGTTAAATACTTTGTTAAGCTAATTAAATTTATTTAATAGATTAGGGTACAAAAAATAATTTAACGCCAATTTTAGCTGCTGATACTAATATTTGTGGGCGTGGGAGGCGTTTGAATATATCATGGTCAGTTAAATACTTTGTTAAGCATACACAATACATCATAGCTTTGATGGCCGAGTGGTCTAATGAGTTAGCAATAAATTAATTTTTAAGCATGGTCAGGAGTTCAAATCTTTCATGAGATTCATTTTTTTTGTTAATTAATTGTTTTTATTGTGCATAATCATCTGTAAAGTTAATTAATTACAAGACTATTAACAAGATAGATAAATATTATTTGTTAATTTTTTAAATATATTATAGGAAGAGAGATAGCTGCAAGATTTTATCAATCACAGTTTTCATAATGAATTGGGTTAAAAAGTACCGTATTTCGCCGATATTTAAGTATATGCACATATAAATGGTAGATAAGTTTCACATAAGGCGTATATCATGATATAAATGCAATAATTTTGGTTACATGCATATTCTGTATAATACACTTGTAAATTTTTGCACCTATATGAGACATAATACGGTACACATATCTTATAATAAGTTATAATATTTTGCTAATTTCAAATATAATCCTAACGCAAATATATTTGGCGTAATACGGTATTCATGATTTAAACAAATTTAATTATAATTTATTTACATTTAGTTACGAAATAATAATAGCCAGTCTGTGACATAGTTACAAAATTATTAATTTAACTAATATTTTAATATTGATCATGGTATTTGATTTTAATGCTATTAATATGCTATACCTTTCACATATACTAGAAAAATATTTTTGGAACAGTTGTGCATATAATTTTTTTAAATTTTAATAATCAATTCTAAAATCATAATTAAAACAATTAAAAATGGTAAACTTTGTAATTAATTAACTTTACAGATGATTATGCACAATAAAAACAATTAATTAACAAAAAAAATGAATCTCATGAAAGATTTGAACTCCTGACCATGCTTAAAAATTAATTTATTGCTAACTCATTAGTGCTATTATTATTTCGTAACTAAATGTAAATAAATTATAATTAAATTTGTTTAAATCATGAATACCGTATTACCCCAAATATATTTGCGTTAGGATTATATTTGAAATTAGCAAAATATTATATTATACGATATGTGTACCGTATTATGTCTCATATAGGTGCAAAAATTTACAAGTGTATTATACAGAATATGCATGTAACCAAAATTATCGCATTTATATCATGATATACGCCTTATGTGAAACTTATTTACCATTTATATATGCATATACTTATTTTCGGTGTAATACGGTACTTTTTAACCCAATTCATTATGAAAACTGTGATTGATAAAATCTTGCAGCTATCCCTCTTCCTATAATATATTTAAAAAATTAACAAATAATATTTATCTATCTTGTTAATAGTCTTGTAATTAATTAACTTTACAGATGATTATGCACAATAAAAACAATTAATTAACAAAAAATAAATGAATCCCATGAAAGATTTGAACTCCTGACCATGCTTAAAAATTAATTTATTGCTAACTCATTAGACCACTCGGCCATCAAAGCTATGATGTATTGTGTATGCTTAAAAAAGTATTTAACTGACCATGATATATTCAAACGCCTCCCACGCCCAAAAATATTAGTATCAGCAGCTAAAATTGGCGTTAAATTATTTTTTGTACCCTAATCTATTAAATAAATTTAATTTCAGCAACATCCACGTTAGGTAAGGTTAAAACTTCACTCGTTAGTATTGCATGCACTACTAAGCCAGGTATTACGGTAAATTTGGAAATGTATTTTAGATTTTATATTAGTTTTATAAAGGAAAATTTGAAATAATGAATTTGTTTTACAAAATTTGTATATTTAATTAGCTGAACCTCAAAATTTGACAGATTGGTACTACTCGTAAACTTTGCATTTCCATAGGCTGAAAATTAACCAATAAAATTAGAAATGATACAAACTTAATATTACTCGTAAATTTAGTACTGCTATAGATTTAACACTAACCCATAGAAAAGGATTGAAATTAACCTATTTTTCTCACACTTTAAATACAGAACTAAATGTATGAATTTAATAATTTTATACCTCTGTTTTCCTATTATAAATTACACATTGAATCAATCCCTATATTTCTTATAGTTTGACCAAAAACATGTGGATTTGGAATTGCCCCATATTAGGCATACCACGTGTATATAGGTAAAGAGTAATCGGAAAAACTGCATGTGCGAAATACATTGACTTCCATTTTACTTAGCACTATTTAAGATAAAATTGATTCAATTAATAA